TGATTTTATTTTATATCCAGGTTATATTTAATGTGCATTGTTTAATTCAAGAGAGATCAATTTAAACATTTTCCTCATTTCTGACTATATCTTCAAAAACATTAGAAAAAATGTAAGTATATTACTTCTAAAACCATATAAGCAATTACAAACAAAAGACTAGACTATATTGATAATTTCTCTTTCAAAATTGAAAACTGGCCCCCCAAAGTATTCTAAAATCCTGTGCTCAGTGTATTACACTCAACTAAACTGTACCATCAGAGTACTCAGATCTCTAAATGTCTTCAAAGCTTATTATATTTACAGGGAACTTAGCAACATTTCAACAGGACTCCACAAAACCCTCAGAGGAAAATCACAGCAAAATGCACAAGAATAAAACCAACAATAATTTCATATTACTGACTTGAGAACATCCAAAACATTCATGGAAATATAAGTACAATTTAACTTTATTTAGGGATTTTTAAGGGATTCTTAACAAAAAGAAAATGTCAGAATGTTTCTATTTTTAAACTAGATGGAACCCTAACTTGTTAAATCCAAGAGCACTCAATCTAAGAGTCTACTAAATTTATGTCCACTTTACCCCGCATCCCCTGCAAAATGTCTCTCTAGTCTGCATTAAATCCCCAGAGTTAGATACTTCTTCCCACTTTTGGACAAGCTTGGCAGCATAGCAGCTACATGGTCTTAGGTTCTTGTCCAAAATCTACAACTCAACTCATTCACCTGCTGAATCAGCTCTGCTCTCTAAACCAGGAGAATGAGTCTATTTCCACTAAAGTTTTTAAAATCTGTGTCCCACCCACCCACCTGTTTCTACTCTTCAGTCTCCACTCACTCTCTGTGGATCTTCACAGACACTTTGGGAAGAGAGTACTTCCACACTGCCAGTAGCCTTTTAAAAACTCTGCCACTTGCAGATTTCGGTGTAGTAGCAGAGAACAGTCATTCTAGAAAGACTAAGTACTTCATACACCTCAATCAAAACATATCACAACAGATACAGGGCAGAAGCAAGATCCAGCTGCTCTTCCACTAAGTCAAAAAAATCCTATAAGAACATATAAAACAATAGCACTATACTAATTTTTTCATTTTAGAACTATTTTTTCACAAAAATTTCACTTAACATGTAACTGGCTTACTACATTTAAAATTAGTGAGTACTTTTGAAGTTATCAGTTTTGGGTTTTTTTTTTTTGGTTTGGTTTTTGGTTTTTCGAGACAGTTTTAACATAGCAAACACTAATAATTAACAGAAAAAGAGTTTTGGGGTATCTTTAGTGATGTTTAACGGAATAATGGGGTCCTCAGACCAAAAGGTTTGTAAAATGTAACATCTCTCAGGTTCTCAGACCTCTATGCTGGGTTTTCTTTTCCCTGGCTCTACTAATGTGTAAATGGCACACACGCTGACTCCTGAGCTAGAATCCTAAAACATCCACAACCTGTCCTCTAGCCAGTGATCTCAAGGAATTGTGAGTCCACATCTTATTCTCAACATCTCCTAGGTACTTAAGCATCTGAAGTTAAAAAGTTCAAACATGGAAGCTTGTCTGAAAGCAGCAACTCAGTCGCTCTGTGAAGCTGCCCATCACTGATACTTCCACTACTCACAAAAAGGTAAAGTTGCTCATAACTAACAAGATCCATGAGGGAAAAAAAAGATGCTCTGAATAATCAATCACTGATTCTTAACAATGATGAGTTTAAAAAGTGATCATGTTAACATGCAAAGAGACAAGAATAAAATTAAAGTCTGCTTATTTGGTTGGTAAGACACTAAGTTTCCTAAATTCTAACACACTGACCTTTACTTGAATACCTCCCCCTTCTTCTTTTCCCTTTTTCTTTTGCTGCTGCTTGAGACAGGGTCTCTTTATGTAACTCTGGCTGTCCTAGAACTCACTAATAGACTCAAAGATCTCTTGCCTCTGCTATCAGTGCAGGGATTAAAGGTATGTGCCACCATGCCCAATGAAAATATTAATTTCTTAACTCTTCATCCTTATGTTATAGAAAATAAAATGGGTTGGAGAGTACAGGTTCAAAAGCTCCAACAGAAACCCTGCTAAGTACATATGAGAAACCTTCCAAATTAATAAAAAAATTTGGAACTCAGAGCAAAGAAAACAGCCTATCCTGTATCTATCATAAAAATCCTGAAGAGCTAACAGATTCTTAAACTTATCTATATTATTTTTGCAGATAAAATAAAACTATATGAATATGAAAATGGGAATTACAACAAGAAAGGTAGGAAGAGAGCCAAATATAAAACATTAAAGATAATCGGATTACCTTTTTTAGACTTTTGGAGTCAAATATGTCAAAACTTCAAAATAACTTTTACAGACACGTGTGACACCTCTTTAAGCACTTTCAAAGTTTAATTTGCTGAAAAGCAGATCACCAGGGGCTCTGGATACGGCTGAGCAGTTAAGAACACTTGCTGCTCTTGGAGAGCACCACATGGCAGCCCACAACCATCTTTAACTCCAGCTCCAGGGGATGCAAAACCCTCTTCTGACCTCCACTGGCACTAGGCATGCATCTGGTACACACACATAAACACAGACAAAACACTCAGACACATGAGTAAAAATCTGGAAGTTGAACCACTGACAAAAAGTTCACAAACATATATGTACCTAAACATCTTTTGCTTCACAATTTTTTTCTGTGACTGACAGTTAATTTGGTTCAGGTTTTCAAGAAGCAAGGCATGTACTGTTCTTAATACATTCACTAAACATTTTGAATCAAGTTCCATCAGCATTTCTTCCTAGTTCTCACTTGAAATCAAAAGTTCTCAAACTTAATCAGTGTATGCAGCATGTTAACATATATACCTGCAAAAGGTGAACACTTGTGATAACAAAAACTGGGACTCCACTCAATGATAAACGTTTCCATCTTGATCCTTGGGGCTTCCTACAGACAATTCCTATTGACTGGTAAAATCTAATATGGTTCTAAGCCTCAAAAATGGAGAGAAGGGGGATTAACACAGTTTTAATTTGCATGCTAGTTAATAAAAAGGAAATGTCCCACAATAACCTTATAATTTTGGGGCTGGGGTACAGTCCTGTGGCAGGGAACTTGTCTACTTTATGGAAGTGAGAAAGAAAGAAGGAAAAGTTGGTGTCAGTCAATAATGTTTACAAAACCATATCCTATGATTTCAAGTATTAACTGATACTCCCTATTTTAGGTTAACAAAAAAAAAAACCCCACAAAAACTTCTACTGTAAACTAAACTGCCAGGGAAGGAGGGGACATTTGGAAGTTTGAACTAAATATGTGCAGCCACTCAAAATTTTCAACATCAGGAGTGGTGCAGAATAGCACACTTGGACAAGAAGTCTGGCTAGAACTGACCTTCCTCAGAAACTCCATCTGAATTTGGTGGCTGCCAAATTCCTAGTACTGATAACAGATGTCAACTGTTAAACCAACATCATGCCCTCAGCAGATTATCTAATGCAAGTTCTGGTTCATAGTAGTGGCTCAATAAACACCTGAAAAATGAATGAGGAATTATTTTTCAAAGGTGTAGTACTTTAGAAACCAAGATAGTCTTTCAAAGCTCACACTGTCTATCATTAGGTATCTTAAGGAAAAGTGGAAATGTGCTACAAGCCCTAGTCACAAAACACATTTTAAACCATTTACTTACAAATAATCAAGTTCACACATGTACTTAAACTGCTTACAAATTTTCAAGCGCAGAAAGAAAAACTAAGATGTATTAAATTTTAGTCATTCAATAAATAAGCTTTTATCTTCTATTAAGGAAAAATCAGTGTCGGGGTGAGATGAAAGGGGAAAATGTCTGTCAATGTAGTCGGTGTGTTTAATGGATGCCATAAATCAAACCTTCCCATGAATTTTCTAGAGCATATTCATGTCAATCTTTGAGCCTATTGTCACTTTCACACATGCTCACGGGAACAAAATGACAAAGAATGCTATGCCTGAACCGCTGGATCCGGGCATGAAACATTTGATTAGCAATTATCTAGGCACTGGATAATAAATATAGAAACATTTTAAAAATACATTAATCCTGTCGACTCCTACATAAATCGAATCTCTGAATTTCTTTACAAGGTTCACTAGACTGCCGGACTTCTAAACGTTTTCTTCTTTTTTTTTTTTTTTAAGGTGCCGATAATCTCCCGTGTGAGACAACTGGGAGCCAACAACCCATTTACTAACAGCTAATGAACACGGCTACGCATTTTCCAGACAAAAGCGCGTTAAAATATCCCATGCACATTTATTCTTCCCTGGTAAACGAGTGTTCTTCCAAATTCCATTTTATGTAGTATACTTAAAGTTAAATGCAGCAAGTTCAAATTTCAGTCAAAAGCTCTAGGTGCCTTACTAGCTTAGCTGTGTGACTGCTACATCTGGCGGAGAACACTTGCATGCAAGAAGCCAAAAAACTTAGAAAACAATTGTAACCGATCTCCGTGAGTGTTTTGCAGAAACCTTCACGAAGGAATTTCCCACAGGGAAAAAAAACTACAATCCCTGGCCGAGAAGAACGCGTGCTTTCTTGCACCCGCGAGCAAACGCGCAGGAACCGACGGCGAAGGAAGGAAAGTTGCAACCATCTGGAGGTGGTGGCTCCGGCAGCCTTGCCCACGAGTCGCTCTGCCGTTGGGATCGCTCTAGGGGCCGCGTTGGGGATCCGAGTCGGATCCGAGTCAGCCCAGAGCATTCCCGCGGAGGGCGAGGGGCATCCTCCCGGTCCCGGGCAGCCCGGCTCGCCGCGCGGGGGACCGCCTCTATGGGAGGAGTGCGGGCTAGGGGAGGGGGCTCGCGCGCCAAGGCTGCACCGCGAGGGCAAGCCCACCCGAGCCCCGAGGCCGAGAGGCTCAGGGAGCAAGGGCAGGCCTCCCGCCCGCGAACCGCCACCCCCCACCCCAGCCCGGGGTCGCCGTGGGCCGAGGGAGCCCGCGGGAGGGCGCGGCGGCGCTTACCTTCCCTGGGCCTCCCGGATGGCGGCGTGTGATTCAGCAGGGACCTGGCCGCCGCCGCCGAGCCCGGGGTTGGAGACGTGGAGAGCCGGGACCAAGATGGCGGCCCCTCCAAACTTCCACTGCTACTTTGGACACTCATCAAGCTACTTTCTGGGAGCCCGACTCCCCCCCCCTGCGACGGCGGCGGCACCGGCACCCGCCTCCGTCATGGCGGGGGCCGCGCTGAGGGCGAGCGCGGGCGCGAGGGCTGGGAGGGGAGCGCCGCGCCGCCGGGGGAGCGCGCCGGGCGGAGGGCAGGCGGGGAGGGCAGCGCTGAGGGGAGGCGCGGGGCCGGGGCCGCGGGGCCGGGGCCGGAGCGCGGGCGGAGCGCGGACCGGCGTGCCGGCCGAGGCCACTTCCGCGGGCGGAACCTGCCGGCACCTCTGCAGTGCGTCGGGCCCCGGCGTCGCCCGGGCAGCGGCGGGCGGTGGGTGGCGGCTGAGGCGGCGGGCTAACCTCTGCATCAGTTACGGGCGGCGGCGGCGGCGGCGTCACGCGCCGCCAAGGCAAACACTATCGCGAGGCTCCAGCGCCTCCGGTAGCAGCAGCGGCGGCGGCGGCGGCGGCGGCCGCGGGGCCGGCAGGGGGGAGGGGGCGGGCCCTGCCCGGGCGGGGCGAGGGCGGGGAGGGCGCGAGCGCGCAGGGAGGCGCGGGGCCCGCTGCGCGGCGCGGGGCGGCGAGTCGCGTGCGCGGGGCCGGCCGGAGGGAGGCGCGCCCCCGCTGCCACCTGCCTCCCCCTCGCCGCGGCGCGCCTGCTCCGACGCGCGCCCCACACCCAGCCTGCCCGAGACGCCTCTGCTCTCGCCCGGCTCGGGAGTCTCAAAATGGAACTGAAAAGTTGAGAGTTGCCTCTTGCCCCTCAAGAAAAAAAAAAAAAGCCGGTGTGCGCTTACCCGTCTGCAGAACGGGTCGTTACGGAATAAAAGAGCTAGGAAAATTCAACTTTCCTTAAAAACAATCTACCAAAGGAATTGAGAAATCCTACCGGTGGGGTAGCCTGTGTATGTATGTGTGTGTGTGGTGGAAGCTGTTCTTTGTTTTCACAGAAGTGGAAAGTCTAAATAGGAAATTTTGACTACTAAATTCACATTAAGGAGGGGGAGGAAAAACATAGTGTTCGTCTTCAAGAAGGTATGGTTTCTAGAAATTTCCAGTTCCTAGTGCCGCTGTTGAGTATTGACGACAAATTCACAAAACAAATTACAGCTTTTGCTAAAATTTATAGACAGAGCATAGCTTTCTACACACCCACGTACACATACCAGCGATTGGCCATCTTGTTCATAAAAGAACAGTCGAGTAGCCCAGGAAAAATACAACAAGGTTATTGCTCTCTTTAAACAACCAAATGGAATAGAACACTAAAAAGATTGTGCTGTAGAGCAACTGTGCCAGCATAAGGAAATGACATGATTACCAGGGGGACAAAAATGTCATTTCTATTTTTTATTTTTATGACTTTGCATTTCTCATAGTAATGTTTTCTTCAGATAAACTATGGTCCTAGCATAGAGCCTTGGTTGTCAGTTATCTCCAGAAGTCTTTCTGTGCTTCAGATTCTTCTGTTTTTAGTCACATTCTGCTTTTGAAACCTAAGAGCTGTCACAGACTGAACAACTTTCTTCAATAGAATGGACTCACTGTAACCTGCATGCCGGGCTCACACTGTACCACGGGTGCAGCTCTGAAGCCCCCTGTACAATCAGTGGTGACTGTCTCCTGCCCTCCCAACTCCCCTCTCCCTAGTCCCTTGCGGTTCCTCCCTGCTCCACCCCCATGCCCCGCAGAACCATAGATCTGCTTTCTGTGCCACGAAGTAGTTTGAATTTTCTTGGATTTTAGATGAAGTGTACAGTGTTTTTCTGTCTGGTTTCTCTCAATGTAATTATTTTAATAGCCACATGGTTGCATTTTCTTACATGAATATATCGCACTTTATCCCTTCATCTGTTGATGGACATTTGCTCCCCTCCCCCCTTTTGCTATATTACTTCCATGAACATTCATGTACAAGGCTTTGTATGGACATACACCATCCACATTCTTGGTTGCATACCTATGCCCGTATATGTAAATAAGTGTAGACTCTTTCTGGTTGTTGGGCCTGTGTATGCTGGGGATCAAGCTCAGTGCTTCATACATGCGAGGCAAACACTCCACTTCAGCCCCTCTGCGTGTTTTAAGAGTAAGCTTAATCTGCAGATTGTATCATAAAGAACACAGGACAGGAAGGAAGTTAAGAGACCTGACATTAATGTAAGCAAGTAAAAACAAAAAATCTTTATTTCAACTTTCCCATCCAGAACACCAAGGTTAGACTCACGGGCGACTCCTGTCAATTCTAGGACTTTAGTTCAAAGCTCAGTTCCTCTAAACTGTAAAAAGAAACCCAAGCCAGACAGGCAACGTGGCTCATATCTTTAATCCCAGGACTTGAAAGGTTGAGACAGGAGGATTGCTTTGAGTAGCAGGCTACACTGGACTATATGGTCTACAGCCATCATTGACCTTTATGCCAACTAAGTTGGGTCTGAAGCAGTGTGGGGTTTTCTGTTTTGTTTTGTTTTTAATGGTGACCAGAGGAACACAGCACATACATAAGCATGTTGCTTCAGGGATACCGTGCTTGTGCCGATCTTGCCTTCTTGTAGCTTATGATAATGATAACACTCACCAGCTTCTAAAGAAGCCTCTTCCAGTAATAAGAAAGAAAACTAGCTCGTCTTACAAGTGGAATGTCAGGCATCATCTAAACTCATGCCTTCAAAAACTACCAAAGGGGCTGGGCGTTGGTGGCGCACACCTTTAGTCCCAGCACTCGGGAGGCAGAGACAGGTGGATCACTGTGAGTTCAAGGCCAGCCTGGTCTACAGAGGGAATTCCAGGACGGGCCCCAAAGCTACTCAAAGAAACCCTGTCTCAAAAAAAAAAAAAAACCATCAAAGGGTAATGGTAGAATTTTCATACTATGTTATAAAAGTAAAAGGTGGGTATGATCTCAAAAATTAATAACTAGTATAGGTTGTGAGATTATATAATTGCTGTTTCTACCTCTGTCCTTCCCCAACTTGTGTACAACAAATTATATATTTTTAAATTTTTATTTCTTTTATGCACACTGTGTGTCTGTGTGAGAGTGTCTGATCCCCAGAGACTGGGGTTACAGACAGTTATGAACTGCCATGTGAGTGCTGGGACTTGAACCTAGGTCCTCTGGAAGAGTAGCCAATGCTCTTAACCACTAAGCCATCTCTCCAATCCCCAAATTATATATTTTTATATTCAGGAAAAGTTCATTAAATGACTTTTAGGCAATTTAAGCATAAAATGTCTCTAGACAAAAAGTTATATAAATGAGTAGTTTTTATAAGCTGTATACAACAATGCCCACTTATGCCCCCAGCTCCTTGGTAACTGAAGCAGGAAGACTAAGAGTTCAAGGCCAACTGGGCCATATATTCAAGAATCTCTCTTCAGGGGCTTGGAGAGATAGCTCAGCAGTTAAGAGCACTGGCTGCTTTTCCAGAGGTCCTGAGTTCAATTCCCAGCAACCACATGGTGGCTCACAGCCATCTAGAGTGGGATCTGATGCCTTCTTCTGGCATAAGGTCATACATGCAGATAAAGCACTCATATAAATAAGATAAATCTTTTTTCAAAAGATTTTGAAAATGTATGTGTATAGATGTGTGTATTATGATAACTTAAAATAATTATGCCCAATTGGTAAAATTTATAAATTGTAAGTTCACTATACATGTACCTCACACGTGTGTTAATACATAGGCTTTCAAAAAAGTATCGGATAGACGGCTACATTAATAGATTGCGTGATGGGAAAAAAATTACAGAAACATCAGGAGAACCCAAATTCGAACTGAAGGGGATATCCGCCACCGAAGGTGAAGAGATCTCAAGAGCAAGGACACGTCACTGGTAGGGTTCTCTGGGCAATCTTCCTGCCTGGAATATTCCTGGAGAGGAAGCAAGCTTGTGAACACGAGAGGCAGCATTGCAAGTGAGAGAAAGCATGGAATCTTCCTGGAAAGACCAGCTGAGAGAGAAAAGGCCCTGTGCGCTGGACACGTCATTGGCCGAGTCCTGAAGCGTCTGAAGCAGTATCTAGCCCAGGCCAAGGCTTCTGTCAACTTTGTGGAATGAATGGGTGATGAGGCTCAATGAGGTGAGGGAGCAAAGCAGGAGAAGTCTCCAGAGGTCTCCTCAGGGAAGGTCATTCGTAGCCATGGAGACCTGAACCCTCATCTATAGAGGACTCTTAATTTACAGCTGTGCCTACTAGACTCTTCTATTTGTACTTAGAAGTACGATTATTTTAAAAGGACCCAATATTATAGATGGAAGAAATATACCTCTTAATATTTGATTTATTCTCAATTCAAATGAAAAAAGAAATTTCCTATCCATCTGAACCCTTTTCCCCAAGCCAGCACAAATGAGACAAATTGAATGAAGGTGTCCTTTGTAAGTGTTTCACTCAGCGGGCTGGAGGAGCCAGTGCATGTTGCCCTGAGCCCTGACTGTGCGCCCCCCACCGAAGTGTTCAGTGGTGTCAGAGCTGCAGCTTTAAATCAGCTGGGGGGGGGGTAGTCCCTCCTGTAAGCAAACAAAAGCCACAAAGTAGCTTCCTCTCCCCATCAGAGCTGCTTACTAAACATCAGCCTTTACCATAGTCATCATGGTCCTCCGTCTTCCTTCCCTGTGCCGAAAACCCAGTGGGACAAGGACCCTGGTCTGTCATGTGTACAATTATATTTCCAGAATCTGGCACCTGTCTAGCATACAGTTAGTGTTATGTATTTGTTGAGCCAATGTGGCTTTTTTCTTCTTCTTTCTTTTTTTTTTTTTTTTTTTTTTTTTTTTTTTTGGTTTTTCAAGACAGGGTTTCTCTGTGGCTTTGGAGGCTGTCCTGGAACTAGCTCTTGTAGACCAGGCTGGTCTGGAACTCACAGAGACCCGCCTGCCTCTGCCTCCAGAGTGCTGGGGTTAAAGGTGTGCGCCACCAACGCCCGGTGAGACAATGTGTGATACACATAACTGGCCAGCAAGCCCTTGAGCCCCCTGAGCTAACGTCATAATCATCTGGGCTGTCTGTCCACCAAGCGGAGGAAGGAAGAGAAGTGTTTTACTGTCCCTCCCCCTCACTCACGCTTCACTGACTGATGTGTGTGGTTTGGCAAGTTCACTGACCTTGTCAG